TATTTAGTGTTTTGTCTTTAATATGTTTTATACTTATTTTATTTAGAGTTTGCGATTAAATCTGGCATGAATAACATTACATATTTTGGTACATCAATTGGTGTATAGCGATCCTTTGATGTTAGTAAATGATAATCACTATACGAAATAGTGGTATTAGCGTCTGATATTTGTGTTAGATTTTGACTACACAAAGATTAGCGTGTAATTTGTGGTCATTAAGCGGAGATTAATAAATTTTAATGCTCGTGACTTGTTTTGTGTTTGATTTGCGTTAAAAAATTTGATGAAAAAAAAAATATTCTGAGAAGGACAAAACCTGTGCATTCATTGTTGTTGCGATGAATTTTGTGTCAAATAAATCGACAGATAAATCATACTTATTAGCGCCAAATTATTGCTAACGCAAATTACATGGAAATCAAACGTAAATGACCTAATTTATACAACCCACGCGCCTCAACTTCATTTATGGTCTCCCTCACCCGTGCGTTTCTCTTCCGTCTCCTTCTCTGCCCGAAACCCTCTCGAGCTACCCCTCCCCTTTCCCTCTCCACTTTCCTTCTCCCTTTCAATTTCGCTAAAAACAATCTCCGCCCCAAATGAAGCATCGTGATACAGTCGCCATTTGAGCTAGCCAGAAAGGTAACGATGTCCGATGGTTCGAGCTTACAAAGACGACCAACTCCTTCAAATCAGAAATCATTGAATAAGGTGAGTCCATTTATGCTACTATTTTTATTTATTTATGGTATGTATTAAAGTTTAGGTGTTAGGTTTGCATATACATAAAAATTGAGTGATATGTGTGAATTAAATGCATTGGTAATAGGGTATGTATGTATAAATTAAACTTTTGGTGTTAGGTACGTATATACATAAGAGTTCAGTGGTATGCATGTAAATATTGAAGTTTAGGTGTTACGTATGTATATACATAAGAGTTCAGTGGTATGCATGTAAATATTGAAGTTTAGGTGTTACGTATGTATATACATAAGAGTTCAGTGGTATGCATGTAAATATTGAAGTTTAGGTGTTAGGTTTGTATATAGATAAGAATTGAGTAATATGTAATAATTAAATGCATAATGTGTTATGCATGTATAAATTGAAGTTTTGGCGTAAGAATTTCGTGGTATGTATGTAAAAATTGAAATTTTGTTGTTAGGTGTGTACATTCATAAGAATTGAGTGATATATAGGAAATTCATATATAAGTAATGTGATATTGTTGAATCCTAAACTATTATTTGTGGAAACACACCTCAAGAGTTAGAGTCTGGAGAGGGATGATGAGAGAGAGTAAAAGTAATTGAGGAAGTCCCCGTAGAATAACATGGAGGGGTACCCTTCATTCGTTCTTTTGCCTCCTATTTATAGAGGTGTATTTGTAAATATAAAGGAGAGAACGATCATGGAAACCATCCTTATTGCAATTTAATCGCAATGATATGTTGTCAAAACAATATTAAAATTTGAATTCAAATGTGGCGGTAACCAGCTGATTCATACACTTGAGTTTGGTCGACCAAGGCGACCAGCCGTGGCGAATGTGTTGGCTGAAGTAAAAGGTTGTTCGGTTGACAATTTGCAGTTGGGCGCCTTTGTGAAGAGTTTAGGCGGTTTGGGACTATTGGCGTGGTCTATCTATTGAGTCTCTCGTCATAATGTGTCAAATAGCTCTGACTGTGTTGATGGTCATTGGATGGTCGACTTAGATCGCATTCTTGTAACTTGATGTCTCAATTGTTCGATCATCATCTTGAGCTGCTCGATTACTTTGAAATTTGTGTCGATGGTTTGAGTAAATATGTATTAATTCCTCAAGATTTTTCATTCATTAACAGTTACAGCTATAATATGGATAGAAAAATTACTAATTGTTTGTGACAATAAAATCAAGAAAATTAATTCAGTCACTAAGTTCACTTTTGGATTTTGCGCTCAACGCACTATATAAATAAGGTCTTAGGCTTGGAATGGTGTCCATTATTGCAATTTTCTTCTAGACAACTGAGTCGTGCCATAGCTGATAGTTCGGGTCGGATTACTGTGGACCCCAAAAGTATCATTTACATGTTGTTCGATAAGAGATTTTAAGTCTTTCTAGGAAGTAGAAGGTGATTCAAAGTTATTCTTAGAAACTCTCTTCTCAATTGCTATTTTCCTTAGGTTTTCAACTAAATGAGCAAGCTCGTGTTTCTCCACTTTCACATGTACTGGTATTGTAGCTGGAATTCATCTTTGGATTCGAGGTGCTAAAACTAATTATTCTTCAATCATCTTTTTTAGGTGCTAATCTCTTTGTCTGAATTCATTAGGAAATACATTGTGTTGTGTTAGGTTGGAGATCTTCCTCAACTAAAACATCTTGATGATGTGCATGTATTAGTACTGATATTGAGACTGGGTTTTGACTTACATGAATAGATTTTCTTCCATACTTTTCTCCAATTTTTTATTTTTTTTCTTCTCTACGTCTTAACTGATTAAAAAGATGTTGGGGATGAAACACCTTCCTCAATTATAACATCTTGAAAATCAACATCATCTTGTTGCTCTCTTAACGAAGCTTTTGTCTCAGCCACCATAATGGTGGCACTTTCTTGAAATGTTTTTAAACCTTTATCTTCTTCCTTGTGTTGTTTAATGTTGTCTTCCAATTTACTGAGCACTTTATCAACAATTTAACCTCTAATATTCTCTAGATCAACCAGGATACACTTAATTTATGCATTAATATCCATTTATTCTACCTTGACATCAACTTCATACAGTGGTCCTGATCTGAAGTGAAATGGATAGTATCGATGTCTCTGGTTTCTATCTCCACTCCCTTCATGGTAGTCTCAGGTTCCTGCTCCATTATTTCTCAAGGTTGTGAGGCCTTCATTTTAATGGGTGAAGTGGGTTAAGAGGAAGTTTTTGATCCAAGATTGTTTGTGGGATAAGGTGGCACACTAACTTCAGCGCATAATCATATCACTAACGAGACATCTTATTTTCATCTTCAACACTTAGAGCTTTCTAAAGGGAATTAAAATAAAAGTAAATGCCTCAAGTGATAGACGATGTGTTTTCTGGATTTTTTTGAAGAAACTTTAGGATAAAAAAGGGGATTCTAGGGATAAGTGGTTTATAGGATGCATCGATAAGGATTGGATAGAGATCCGCCTTAATCTTTTAGCCCTAGTTAGCACAGTATAATAAGAGGTTCTATGTTCAGAGTATCCATGATTAGGCCTATTCCTATAAACTTGTGCATAGGAACATTTTTTATACTTGTACTCTTGTCCTGGGAATCTATCATACTCCAAATTTTTTTTTTCTTTTCTTGAGAAAGTATACCCCCTAGTGATTCAAGGACATTTTTTCATAGTGTAGTTTTTTCCTTTTTGCTATTCTTTCAAAAATCCCACGTATATAAGTAGAACGAGGCCCCTTTTTTCTTTGTTAAGTGACTCATATTCAAAATAAGGCGAGTTAGCTATTCTACCTTTTTGCTATTCTTTCAAAAATCCCACGTAGATAAGTAGAACGAGGCCCCTTTTTTCTTTGTTAAGAGACTCATATTCAAAATAAGGCGAGTTAGCTATTCTACACACACCCTTTTTTTCTTATACATCAGAAAGTGAGCTAAACATACTTTCTCCTAAGAGAGCAGAGGTTTTAAGCAAGTCCAGTGTATACTTCTTGAGAAGCCTTCTATTCTTATTTATTTTTTCAGTTTTGTTAACATCATATTAGCTTTGGAAGATCAACTAACTTCAATTACTGATGGAGCATTGCAGACTTCACTCAGTACTTTAATTGATTCAACATTGATTATTTGAAAAACTGCTCTTTCAAAAAGTTTACATAAAATCACGAGTCTTTATCGCCTCTAACCCAAACCTAAAATCATAGATATTGATCTCCTTCAACTTAGTCATAGATTCACGAGACTTGACCCCCTTTAAGTTTCCATCCAACAAAAGCAGCCAACCCTTTCAATTTAAAAGTAAAGACCCAGGCTTCACTGTCTGAAATACCAACCAGAAGGAGAAGAGGTGTGCCCTCCATGGCAACCCAAGAGGGGCATTTATAAGCTTGGGAAAAAGGGTAAAAAGAATTTTTTTGGGAAAATGTAATTTTCTGAAGAAATTTATTATTATTATTTTTTAAATGAGATTGAAGAAGAAAAAAATCTTATATTTCTTTCATATCTAGAATTTTCAATCTCCCATATGTTTTTTTTCTTTTGAAAGCAATGAAAAAAAAAGTGAAATATTACAAAAAAATGTAAGAACATCCAAAGTTTTTAAATTTCAGCAGAAAAAAAAACATGCAGGAGCGTGTAATTACCTTGACTGAGCGAATAATTTTCATGCTTACACATAGCATCATTTGTCCCTCACATAGCACCATGCTCACTCATGCACGCCACACACAACACAACCTCAGTTCATGCAACCACGCAATAATTATTGAACCAAATATTGTTTTTCTTCAGAGAGTTTGGTCACTACCACAGTGTTTTCCACCACTTCCCTCATGAAAGTCAGCCCTACTTGTGTAATATTCCTTCTATTTATTCAAGTGCAGGTAAGATTGTGTAACCCACATCAATAGAGTGAAATCATTTCCACTGGACCTGACCCAATAGTTTTCGTCCCTTCGGGTTCTTCACGTAAAAACTCCCAGTGTCTTTTCTCTCGAATATTTACCCATATGTGTGCAGATCTTTGTACAACACTAATATATTAATATATCACTCTATCACTATATATTTAGGACACAACAATTATTGAACCAAATGACCCCTAAATTTATTGGATCTAACATTGAAGAGAAAATAATAAGGATGATTAATGAATTTCAACCCCTTCTATTTATTATAAGTTGTCAACATAACATCAAAAAAATATAAAATGTTTTCTTTCTTTCTTTTTCTGTGGTGATTTATTAAACATGTACGACAGTAAATGCTTCGTTATGTGGAGATCATGGAGCTATTTTCTAGGCAAAATCAATGCCCCTAACTCAAATATTGAATAATATCTACTAAATTCTTTCAACCTATTTCATCCGGTTAGCTCTTAACCCGTTCATAACCCATATCTACTAACTCCACTCCACTCCGCCGACGACCATGCTTTCCGGCATCTTATTTCACGCCGCCGTCTCCTTCACCGCCGCCATCCTCGCCTGCTTCCTCGACCTCCCCGTCCTAACACTTCGAGGTCTCCACACATACATCCACCCCGACTCACTCCCCGCCAACGATGGAACCAAAGCCCTTCTCCGCCGCCCCGACGTAGTCGCATCCTCCCTCCCCGATCCCAAACGTAGATCCCGATCAAAGGATTCCCAACTTGCTTTCGATGAATCCAAGGCCCAGCTCTTCCGCCTCCGCCTCGCCGATTCTCTCCTGCCATCTCGCCTCTTCTTCCACTCCTACCGCCCTTTCTTTCATCCTTCATTTCTCTCTCCAATATCGCTATCTGCATTATCTTCCCGTTGTCCGATCCCTTTGCCTCACTCTTCTTCGCCGCCGTTCTTATTTCAGCTTCCCATCTCCTCGTGTTGCTCCTTATGTTTTCCCTCGAACGCTCCGCCTCCAGCATCTCGGAGCGCCGGTTTAGCCTTTTGTCTGCTTTGATCAGCTTCCTTTCAACGTTCGTCATTCTTATCTACTTATCTCCCTCTGTCTTCGACTTCCGAGTCCCTGGTGCTGTTTCGCCTGCTGCAGCCTGCCTTGCCGGCTTCCTTGGCGGTATTCTCTTCACGCCCGCTGGACGAGCAGCTCGGTCCTTTTGGCTTGGCACCGATCAGTTGCGTTGGAATCTCTCTGTTGTCTCCTGCGGAACATTTGCCCGTGTATTCCTCTACGCTTCCGTTATCTTGAGCTTGTTCTCCTCGCTTCTTTGGGTCAAACCTTTAGCTTTGGCAGAGCATTTTGAGGATTGGAGAGTGTGGGCATTGGCAGCAGCGGCTGGCTCACAACTTCTGGTGCTGCGCAATAATGTTCAGATGTATTTGAATGAGCCGGTGTTGTGCTGGTACCAGCGGTTACATTCCAGTAGGGTTCCGGACCTGGATTATGGTCGGGCAAAGGTTTTTTTACACAACCACTATGTTTGTCTTGCTGTTATTCAATTCTTTGCATCGCCAGTGCTGGTGTTGCTGCTTGCTGGGTTGTCTCAGATTAGAGGTAATTTGTTTGGTGGTATTCCTTTTGCTGGTGGACTAATGGAATGCTCTGATCTTGTAAAGGAAATGGCTTTGTTTATAGCCTGGTGGATCATGTTTATTCGGTCAATTTTGATGATGTTGTTGCTAGCGCTTCAGAGGTGTGGTTTTGCATTTGTTTCATGACTTCTATGTCTTTCCAATGAAAATTTCATTTTTTCTTCCCAGCATTTTGGTTCTTATTCATTGTAGGTTGTTATAAATTTTGGGGTCTCATTATGTTGAGATTCATGGTTTTGCCAAAGGGCATGAAGGAAACCACATTTTTCTACTCTATCTCACTAACGTATGCGTAGCATGGAAAATAAATAATGAAACAAATAAATCAGGAAAGAAAATATCAAATCACAAAAAAAAAAAAAAAGTGATTTCTTTATTCCAAAGATCCCTTTTAAACTAAAAATAATTTTGTTAGTATTCTTCAATATATCCCATGTCTAGTTGGCCTTCATAGCCAAAATGCAGTACTTCTATAATGAACATTTTGGTTTGATGTTAGGACCTTCCGAAACAAGGGTTATTCTTTTGTGCTCTTCCTTTCTTATTTGTATACCAAAGCTCAGATAATTGTAGTTTCTCTACATTGATGTAGTAGATTTGTAGGGGAAATAACTTCAACTGAAGCAAATGATAGGCGATAGCTGGTCTTCAGAAATATTTGCAATGTTCCGTAGCAGATGAGCTTCATTTTTCCATTCTCTCTTAACTTGTTCCAATAAGTATTACAGATTCAAATCTTCATTCTGGAATGCACACTCAATGTGATGCTTTTCATAACGAGCTTTATTACCATCAAGTGACTTTTGAAGGTACTTATAAATGTATCTTTTGGATCCCTTTCATGAATTGTTCCAATTTTTAGGATATGTTCATAGCAAAACCCAAATAAAATGAACTCGTTAGTAGAACATTGCAAAAGTATATTTCATTGTTAATTTGTGGGTGGCTTGCGTGAAAGAAAACTGGATATAATGCATGCTGTCATCCATGTCTTTGGGTGTCGGATTTATAACCTCGCAAAATCAGAACAACTTGCCACCTCCATCGAAACATTGGCCTGAAGGTGAAAGGCAATGCTACTTTTTTATGTTTATGTCCACTTTGCTCCACTGTGATCTCAAGAAAGTACTAAGGAATTTTTTATCCATGTTGGTAATAATGAATGCTGGCAAGTTCAAGTGAATTGAGATGGACTCCAACAGCTACATACTTGAAGAGGTTTGTAAATGGCTACTTTTTAGTTTGTTGTCTTCATAAAGCTGTAGAATAAGCATACACTTTTGAGCTATTGCACATATAAGTGCATTTTTTGGCTGATGGATGCAATACTTCAGATGTTGGAGAGTTTTTGCCACTATGACATGTCATGCCATCAACAAAATGTGTGCCTCTTGTATTCAAGTCAACTGTTAGCATCCATTGCAAGGATAACTTATCCTTGTGGTATGGTGATGTAGTTGTCTACATCCAAATATTGTGTTGGCTCGGTCTACCTCTGCTTGTGATAGTCCGCTTAGGGGGGCTGTTCGGCAACTTCTGGGGTTCAAGTCATTAGAATTTACTAAATCTGGTAAATTCGGATTTTGTAATTCTTGAAATTGTTAAATCTTAAAAAATTATTTGACAATGAATTTCATAAATCTAATTAAATCCTGTTAAACTGTTTGACAATTTTTATCATGATTTAATAACCAGTCAGGTTTATAAGAATGCAGCAAACTTTGATTATTTTATTACTAAGATAGAAATTCATTATTAAATCTAATTTTATTCAATTTAAATTTTATAATAACTTATGGTAATTAATAATTAATTTTTCGCTAAACTACTTGATTATTAGTGAAAATATGTCAATTTAGTTTTTTTAATTAATAATTTAACATCTTTCAATTAATAATTAATTAATTAATTACTATATTAATTAATAATTAATTAGAATTTTATTAAATAAATGAAATATAATAGGTAGTTTATTTTATTAATTAAGTATTAAATAATTATATACAAATTTAATTCATTGTAATTAATATGATAATATATCAATTATTTATTACTTAATTATCACTTAAATTAATAAAAATTAATTTAGATAAAATTATATTAAAATAAAAAACCATTGTTTCCCTTTATCAATCCCCTCTCTTGCCTAAACCTACCTCTCCCCTCTTTTCCCCTTCTACCCCCTTTTTGTTTCGCCCAAAGCCATCGCACCTCTCCCAATTTCACCCAAAGTGACCGCAACTGAGTTCTCAAGATACAATCGCGATTAGAGTTATAACTGGGAAGGCAATGACAGCGCGATGTACAAATATTATTGAAACTCCCACCTTCGTCCTCCTCCCGCTCTACTCCAACCTGAAACCATTAACGAAGGTGTGTTTGCGCAGGCCTTTCTTTCTTCGGACTTCTTGGATTTACTAACTCCGTGGTACAGGAGGATTTACTAAATCTGAGATTTATACCCAAAATGTCGGAAATCCGGATTTAATAAATCTGAAGATTTATTTTGTCCAAAGTGATCATCTGGCAGATTTAGCTTAAATCCTTCCAAAATCCAACTCTATATCCTTTACCAGACAACCCCTTAGTTTTTAGCTTAGTTTGTTTCAGTATTATTGTATTAGCTTAATATGTATAAGGTTAGTTTTATAATAGTTACTATGTATAAGATTTAGCCAAATAACCGTGAAGGCAGAGTGAATGATATTGTTTGTTTTCTACAATTTTTATAGCAGGGGGATTTTTGTCTTCCTCTTCTTCATGCTGCCTGTTCTCTAGCAGCTTTGGTGGATAAGTTTACACCAAGTTGATCCCTTCCATTCCAGAGGAAGTCAACTCAAGTTCAGAAGATTGAGCTTGTCCGTCATCGGGTGGATGGTAGTAGCATAAATCAGATACATTAAATGTATTGAAAATATTTAGATTCAGTGATAATTCTAGACATGCATTATCATTGATACGCTTGATAATCGAGAATGGGCCAAATTTGTGAGGTTTTAGATTGGAATAGGTGTAAGGTGGAAATAAATCACCTTCACCTTTCATCTACAATGCCTATCAGCTTGTTGTTTATGCAGCCAAGAGGAATCTATCAATTTTTCATTGAACTTGCATACCATTGTGTTGGGTAATGTGGAGACCCAGTCTACCGCAATTTAATTAACTGTTGTTAATTAGTTTCCTAATTAAGAATCTCACCTACCGCTCACCTACCTTACCACCTACCGCTCACCCACCACATCCTACGTACCTCCCACATGCCGCTCTCCTGGTTTTTATAAATAGTCTCTTATCGCTTGTCATAAGCAAAGTCAAGCAAAGGTCAAACCAAGTCTTCTAAAAAAGAAAAAGAGGAAGGGAGAGGAGAAAATAGAGATTTTCTTGTAAACGTCGATGCAATCGACAGTGTAATTCCTCGAAGAAATAAAATCCTCTGTAGCTCTGTGGACGTAGGCAAATTTGCTGAACCACATAAATTTGTGTCGCTCTAGTATTTTTTCTGTGTGCAATTTTTCTCGATTCGTTTTTTGCTTTATTGCTGTCGTTTTTTCACAACAATTGGTATCATAGATTTGATTCGGATCTAAGGAAGAACGATGGGCGGAGACGAAGTAATAACATTGGGGACCGAAAAGTTCAATGGTATAAATTTTGCTTATTTGAGGATGCAAATAGAGGGCTACCTTTATTGGAAGAAACTTCATCTTCCGTTACTGGGAAAGCGACCGGAAAAGATGGACAAAGCAGAATTGAATATGTTGGATCGACAGGATCTGAGGTTTATTTGATTAACCTTGTCGAGATTGGTTGCCCTATCAAGATCGGTTGCCCTATCAAGATCGGTTGTCCACAACGTCATCAAAGAGAGAACTACTGCAGATCTCATGACGGCTTTATCATGTGTGTATGAAAAGCAATCGACAAATAACAAGGTGCACATGATGAAAATGTTATTCAACTTGAAAATGTCAAAATATGTCTCTGTTGCTCGACATCTGAATGATTTCAATACTATCACTAATCAATTGTCGTCGGTTGAAATTGATTTTGATGATGAGATACATGCTCTAATATTGGTGGCTTTATTGTCAAATAACTGGGAAGCCATGAAGATGACAGTTAGCAGTTCTGCAGGTAAATCTAAGTTAAAATATGATGATATTCGTGATTTGATTCTGGTTGAGGAGAAGCGTATGAAGGATTTTGGCGAGGCCTCGTGTTTAAGTTTGGGGCTGAATGTTGATTCCAGAGGGAGATCGCATGACAGGAACTTACACAGAGGAAGATCAAAATCAATGTCTGATTAGCAGACAACCTGCTAGAATTGTGGCAAGGTTGACCACATAAAATGAACTGCAGGAATCGTAAGAATAATGAGAATGATGATGCTAATATTGTAATTGAAGAAATACAAGATGCGCTACTGCTGACAGTTCACAGTTTTGTTGATGACTGGATACTGGATTCAGGGGCTTCCTTCCATACACCGGCAGTTTCTTACTATACTTTATGCGAAACTATGTTGCAGGTGACTTTGGGAAGATACATTTGGCTGATGGAAAAATTCTGAGCGTGGTGGGGATGAAAGACATTGATATTACACTCCATAACAAGAGCAAATGAACTTTGCAAAAGGTCAAACACGTTCCTGAGTTGAAGAAAGTCCTCATCTCTGTTGGGCAGCTCAATGAGGGTGGTCATCTCAGATAGCACCTGTAAGGTTACCAAAGAAGCATTAGTACAGACTCGTGGTAAGAAAACTGACACAATATATATGACTACAAGTTTACTCAGGCAAGGACACTTAGGTCAGATGTGCATTGTGGGGAAACAGAAGAAGATCAAGTTTTTAAAAAGTGGCAGAGCTAAAGGAAAGAAAACCGGACCTTGTACAGACAAATGGTGGAGAACCACAAAGGTATAAAGAAATCTTGCAAGGTGAGAATTCGAGCAAGTGAGGGATGACCAAGGAAGAGGAGAAAGATTCCCTGCTAGAGAATCAGACTGATAGAACTTCCACCAAGAAAGAAAAAATTGCACAACAAGTGGGTGTATCGAATGAAGATTGTGTTTGGTGGCAGTAAGAGGTACAATGTTGGACTTGTTGAAAAAGGCTTTCAGCAGGGGCAGGATATTGCTCGCATAGTGAGAGTTGTAAGCAGA